TCTTTTTTGTGGTACTTGAGAATGTTGAAGCCTGTTGTTTGTAATATTGAAATAACCGTTTTTTACTACTTGCATATGAATATAAATACGGTACATACACCAAAATAACATATTTTACAATTTTTGTCCGTCGGTCTGTTTGTTCCGGCTAATCTCTGAAATGGCTGGACCGATTTTGACGGGACTTTTAATGGCAGGTAGCTGATGTAATAAGGAGTAACTTAGGCTACTTTTATTTTAGAAAAATAAAGTTAAAAACCACGTGGACGAAGTCGCGGGAACAGCTAGTGTATAATATATTAGAGATACCTACGTGTTTTTTTATTGATGACTAGCTGTACACGGGATTTCGTCCGTGTTGAATTTAACTTTATTTTTCTAAAATATAAGAAGTTAAATTCCACTCGGACGAAGTCGGGTGTACAGCTAGTTGTCGGTAGTCTAGCGATTTAGCTAGCACACTGCTTTGATTCCTGCTTGGTGGTCGAGGGTTCGATTCCTCGCACGCTGCAAACATTTGTATTCATGAGTATGATTGTTTGTAACGGTCTGGGTGTTTTCTATGTATAGATAATATATATGTATTTACGAAAAAAAATATTTGTATTTATATCAGTACCCATAACATAATCTTCAGCTAGCTTAACTTGGGTCTAGATGAAGCTGTGTGAATTGTCCTGAGATTACTATTATTACTATAATAAATCTTTTCAAATCAGCCGATGTTTATTTTTGCCATAATACGTGCTGTTACCATGTGATAATATTACGTACGTACTTATTAAACTATTAACTTATTATTAAATTGTTTGTAACGGTCTGGGTGTTTTCTATGTATAGATAATATATATGTATTTACGAAAAAAATCTTTGTATTTACATCAGTACCCATAACATAATCTTCAGCTAGCTTAACTTGGGTCTAGATGAAGCTGTATGAATTGTCCTGAGATTACTATTATTATTAATTGGTACACAGGTAAACTACTAACTAAGTCATATTGGTGTTGTTTGTTATGGTGAAAAAACTAGTAGGTATATATATAAGTTACACGTACAATTTCAAAGACTTATTTCTTGAAAACTACTGGCTATTCTGAAATAAAACTTTAGTGTTTGTATATGTAATGTTTGCATATAAAATATGATTAAAGGTTACCAGTGTATTTACACTTTTACTGAACAAACAGAGTTGTTTAATACTAAAAATATTGTGTGGAAGGCATCAATTACTTTCAGTGCATGTATAGCTTTTCTCTTTTCCTAATTATTATTATTATTAAGTTTAAAGTGGTTGAATTTTACGTAAGGGGTTTTTATACATTATTTCTAATTTACCATTTATTTTAAGTTTTTTAAACTCTATTCATCGAGACCTATCTAATGAGTCCAAACACGATATTTCTGCTGTAAGTTTTCGAAGAGTATGTTCATCATCTGATAATACTGGTGCCAGCATGAAGTCAAGGTTAACAGATAACTAATTACTTTTATTTCGTCAAAATCTTTAGATTACGTATAATAAATTCATAATATCGCTACCTATTCAAATCAAAACAAGTATTAGGTACTTCATGTACTAGTATATAAATTCATCAACACACAAGTAAATGATTTTTAAATATATTCAGAGCCAAAAAATCTTTGTGCATTTAAAAAAAATGCCGATACGGATTCACTATTGCAGGAAATTGTTGATTAATAAAAAAATATATATCGAGTATAAGTATCTACTACTATCGACGAATACATTTGGCAACAACGCATGGTCTCGGCCGGAACGGCAACATCGCATATTAGAATACAAAGATAGTGATAGAAAGAGAGAGACAGTGGATCAGCAATATCTACGGATCGTGGCTGGATCAACTAAGTGTGCAAGTGTATATAAATATATATATATATATATATATACATTTGTCTTTAATTCAAAGGAAATATAAATAATGAACGCATCACATTTAAAACAGTATAAATAGTTAATAATTTAATAATAAGTTAATAGTTTAATAAGTACGTACGTAATATTATCACATGGTAACAGCACGTATTATGGCAAAAATAAACATCGGCTGATTTGAAAAGATTTATTATAGTAATAATAGTAATCTCAGGACAATTCACACAGCTTCATCTAGACCCAAGTTAAGCTAGCTGAAGATTATGTTATGGGTACTGATATAAACACAAAGATTTTTTTTCGTAAATACATATATATTATCTATACATAGAAAACACCCAGACCGTTACAAACAATCATACTCATGAATACAAATGTTTGCAGCGTGCGAGGAATCGAACCCTCGACCACCAAGCAGGAATCAAAGCAGTGTGCTAGCTAAATCGCTAGACTACCGACAACTAGCTGTACACGCGACTTCGTCCGCGTGGAATTTAACTTCTTATATTTTAGAAAAATAAAGTTAAATTCAACACGGACGAAATCCCGTGTACAGCTAGTCATCAATAAAAAAACACGTAGGTATCTCTAATATATTATACACTAGCTGTTCCCGCGACTTCGTCCACGTGGTTTTTAACTTTATTTTTCTAAAATAAAAGTAGCCTAAGTTACTCATTACATCAGCTACCTGCCAAAAAAAGTCCCGTCAAAATCAGTCCAGCCATTTCAGAGATTAGCCGGAACAAACAGACAGACAGACAAAAATTGTAAAATATGTTATTTTGGTGTATGTACCGTATTTATATTCATATGCAAGTAGTAAAAAACGGTTATTTCAATATTACAAACAACAGGCTTCAACATTCTCAAGTACCACAAAAAAGATGTTTTTATTAAAAACAAGGTGTTCCCGCGACTTCGTCCGCGTGGAATTTAACTTTATTTTTCTAAAATAAAAGTAACCTAAGTTACTCCTTATAAATCAGCTACCTGCCAAAAAAAAGTACCGTCAAAATCGGTCCAGCCATTTCAGAGATTTGCCGGAACAAACAGACCGACAGACAGACTAAAATTATAAAAATAGTTATTTTGGTATATGTACCTTATATATATTCATATGCATGTAGTAAACATTACAGTAAAATTTTGTCAATAACATAATAGCAACTTAAACATTAAATCTCGGTATATCTATAGACTAGCTGGCCCCAGCGACTTCGTCCGCGTGAAATTTTATTTTATTTTTCTAAAATAACAGTAGCGTAAGTTACTCCTTATTACATCAGCTACTTGCCAAAAAAAGTCCCGTCAAAATCGGTCCAGCTATTTCAGAGATTAGCCGGAACAAACAGACAGACAGACAGACTGTACTATGCTATACTATGTATTGATTGATATACCTAAAATAAATAAAATATCTGAGGTTTGGACAAAAACTCAAAGGGTAATTTATTTTGAAAAAGTATTTTGAAAATACCTATTTTGCTTTTAGTGTTATAGTACTTTAACTGTTATGTTTTAAGTAACAATGTTTAATTATAATTAATACTACTGCACCAACACTCCGATCGTGCAAAAAAATTTGCTGTTTCATTATTTTTTAGTTCAATTAGTGGTCTACCTAAGTTCTGGGCTAAGGGGGGGGGAGAGTCATGACGCCCCCATGACTCCCATGACCTCCATGACGCTCCCCCCTGGATCCGCCGTTGCGTCATCTCTTTATTCGCTCAGTAACGTTGTTACAAAAGAAAAGATTCCCGTCCAAAAAATAACAAGTATTGAGGTTTGATCTGGAGTCACGTTACTCCAGACTGATTTCTATAAATATTTAGATTAGATAGACTATTATTCTTGAAATACTAGCTAGACATTATTAAGTTACTGTAGCCATAATGTAGTAGCCCAAACGTGCCAATGAGGAAGCCCTTGGCAAATGCTGCACCCTGATTGGCCCGTTTGAATTGGATCAAGAACTGCTCGTATGCCAAAAAGGTGGATTTGTATAAAATCGTGTATAAATCGCTTAATTATTATTATTACTCGTCGTGACAGTTGTGGCTCAAAACGGATCAACATTTATATATGGTCATCTGGCATTAGATCAACAAAAGGCCTCCGGATCAACAAGTGAAAAAGGATCAACAAAAAACTACCTATACGGCACGTCTGAGCCACAAAGTGCCCAAGGGGATATTTATATATATATATATATATATATATATATATATATATATATATATATATATATATATAAATGCATATAAAGTTACTATGGCCGACCTCGGTTGTCTAGCGGTTTTACACACCACTTTATCCCTGGTCGCGATTCGATTCCGCGTACAGCACAAACATTTGTATTTATTGTTAACCCTTATAAGACTAATCTTTGAGATTTTTTCTCTGCTACAAAAGTTAATCAATCATGTAACGAGAAGTGTATATGATGTCAAAGATGTGAAAAATGATATACCTAAATATCAGCCCCGAAGGATTTGTAATTGCTGTGAAAAACTGAGGTTTCTAAGGTCTATTTGCGATGTCTTAATACGAATAATTTTATGGTAAATAAAGGTATTTACCTCTGTCGACGTTTCGACTAGGTTGCACTAGCCGTGGTCACGAGCTGACCGGAGTAACAGCGACGCCAATGTAGATAGGTTTCAAACGAAGTTGCATAAGTCAGCTCATCTATAAAATAACAAACTGTATTCTTAGATCTTTAGGTCCTTAAACATGTCACGTAGTTTATGGACCCCCTCACTGGATTCTAGGTGGTTATATTTCGCTACGATTGACTTATTGACCTCTGTTCAGTCTCATCTTATCATCCTCCAGATGGCAGTCGCGACGAACTGAAAGCTTAACTTTTGCGTTTATAATATTACTAGCTACTCGCCCCGGCTTTACTCGATTGATATATATACATGTATTATATGTATATATATATCAACCTTCCTCTTAAACTTCACTCTGTTTATTAAAAAAACCGCTTCAAAATCCGTTACGTAGTTTTAAACATTTAAGCATACATAGGGACAGACAGCGACAGCGACTTTATTTTATACTATGTAATGATTAAGTTAATCTTATTTTTCAGTGAACAGTCCATATTAAATGGAGCGGTGGCATGTACAGTCTGGCAAGAATCATCACCAGCAATTTCAACCGTAATCACCAAAGATGATCAGCTCCAAGTGGCTGGTGCTGTGGTCGCTGTGGGCAGCCCGGGTGGTCCGGCAGCCGACAGTACCGCTGCAGATCAGCGCTGGACTGGTACAAGGAACAATCGCCAATTCTGGAATGCATGCTGAATACTTCGGCATACCATACGCAACTCTTGTACAGAGGTTCCAGGTTGATTAATTTGATATTAATACCTGTAGTGGATAATTATGTAATTTGATTATTTCTTACTGGATTTATATGATTTTATTTAAGTCCACTACCATTGTAATCATTGAGAACATAAATAATCAGTGCAGAAACCAATTAAAAGCATTTATGTTACGTTACCTTCCCAACTAGTGATCAATTTTCAACCGTTAATGAATCTACACCCATAGGGTGATTTCTATCAATCTTATCTATGTATTTACAGAAAATGTGTAATTATGTATTTTTATCAGTTGTCTAGTAGGGAAGGTAACGCAACATAAATGATTTTAATTGGTTTCTGTACTGATTATTTATGTTCTCAATGTTTTTATAGAAAAACTTTAAATCCATAGCACTGACAATATTATCTGATTACATTAATAATGAGTGCGTAGCGACTTCTATGTTGATTATCGCATGCCTCTTACTTGTTATACTGTAATTATTTATATAAAAAAAAACATCTATTAAAAAGAGCAACACACAAGTTTCTTGCTCATTCTTCTTGTGATGAATCTGCATTCCTAATGAGTGGTAGAATCAAAATATGACTATTCAAAAGTGCTTGTAATGAGTTTATTTGAATAAAGATTATTTCTATTTCTATTTCAATGATTATAAAGTCTTAATCACCGACGTAAAGTAGCTTGTCTATCGGTGTTCTATAGGCTCCATTTTGGCGAATGTGCTCAAGAACTGCACAACCTCATGCACCGTTCCATCAACGTACAACAAGACGTAGACAGCGGCTCCACCCCTACACTATTGACATCCCAGCTGCTCGAACTAACCGTTTTGCGTCATCTTTCCTTATGCGAGCAGCTATGGAGTGGAACTCTCTACCAGCGTCTATTTTTCCTGCCTCTTACAACATTGGGTCTTTTAAGTCAAGAGTGAATAGGCATTATTTGAACTTGCGTGTAACAGATTATTATATAATATAAAAAAAAGTACTCATAACATGAGCTTGCTTAGCTTGAATTGCGGATTGTTATTGTCGTTAGACCAGAGGGTAACGGTACTCAGTGAGATGATGAGTAAGCAGAAGCCTAGTATTAAAGTGCTAATAATAATGAAGTTTATTTAGTATTTCCTAATGATTGTATATTTTATTAGACATTGACATTCCAGGAACCTGGTCCTGAGCCTAAATGGGCAGGAATTTTCGAAGCCATCAACGAGAATGTACGATGTGTACAGAGGTTTACAGGAAACTCAGTATTAGGTCAAGAGAATTGTCTAACTCTGAATGTATACACACCTCTAGATAGACCTTCAGATTTGTACCCTGTCATGGTGTTCATTCACGGAGGAGGTTTCAGAGATGGTTCAAATTCGCCATTCCTTTATGGACCGGATTATTTGATAGAGCACGACGTAATCCTTGTTACGATTAATTATAGACTTGAAAACTTGGGATTTCTCTGCCTGGGAATCAAAGAAGCACCAGGCAACGCAGGTCTCAAAGATCAGGTAGCTGCACTGAGATGGGTGAAGCGAAATATAAAGGCATTTGGTGGTGATCCAGATAATGTAACTATTTTTGGCGAAAGCGCTGGCGCTGCATCGGTTTCTTATCATTTAGTCTCGCCAGTATCTAAAGGTTTATTCCACAGAGCGATCTTGCAAAGCGGTTCGTCTACATGTCCTTGGGCTTTGCAAACTGAGCCCTTAAAAATCGCTAGTCAACTAGCTCATCAATTTGGATCAGAAACTACAGATCCATATGAAATTTACAAATTATTCATGAATAAATCAGCAAAAGAGCTGCTTGCAACGCGAGTACCCAGACCAAAAGGTGATGTTCTACTATCTGAAAACATTTTCACACCATGCATTGAGAAAAAATTACCTAATACAGAACCGTTTTTATTAGAAGCACCACATAACTTAATGACTAAAGGTCTGTACAATAAGGTACCGGTAATGATAGGTTATAACAATGCTGAAGGTTATATGTTTGCTAGTAGAGAGAATGATACAACAATTGCAAATTTAGATTTCCTACAAGCGACCCCAATAGATTTGGCATTCCCTACAGTTGAAGAAAAGAAACGAATAGCATTAGAGCTAAAGAAACTTTATATGGGTGATGAGGAAGTTAGCAAAGAGACTATAATAAGGTTCTCTTTCTTTGAAGGTGATTCACGTATAACATATCCAGTAATATCAACAACAGAAATCCTTCTAAGTACTTCTGATCAGCCCGTGTACTCTTACAAAACGAACTATGATGGATGGTTGAATATAGTCAAGTTTTTGTATGGCTTCCGTGGGCAACCTGGCGCAACTCATGCTGATGAACTGTTCTACATGTTTAAGCTTAAACTTCCTCTGCTAAATGCTGTTATTGAAAGGAAATTTATTAGGAAGATATGTACGATGTGGACCAATTTTGCTAAATACAGGTAAGAGAACAAAGTCTTCTTAGATGTGTAATCCCAGATTGTGATCAGAGGTATTGTCTACTATAGTAGTAATCAACGCACTAGTTACGTGTCCACAATTCGTTCTAATATTTTAACTAGCGGTGCCAGCGACTTCGTTCGCGCAACGAAAGCCCTCAAATATGAATAATTTTTGCCCGTTTCTGCAACATTTGCCATTGATGCTCGCTCCTATTGGTCGTAGCGTAATGTTATATAGCTTAAAGCCTTCCTCAACAGATGGACTATCCAACATAAAAATAATTTTTCAATTCAAATCAATAGTTTCTGAGATTAACACGTTCAAACAAACAAACTCTTCAGCTTTATATTATTAGTTTCATTATAGAAGCAACATAGTATTCAAAAGTGCATAAATTTAAACTTATTTGAATAAAGATTTTTTTATTCTATTCTATTCAGGTGGTTAGTCGATGAGTTTCGATTTTTTTATTAGTATTTCGTCGGAGAGTTATAATAATTATTATTAATTTACATTTGTAATCATAAATGTAAATTAATAATAAATATATAAACCAGAACAATCCACATACGGCCCATGTAGTTAGCCAAAATCCAAGCTAAGCTTATGTTATGGTTACTAGACAACTGATATAAATACTTAATGCATTATTTAGATACATAATATACATAGAAAGCACTCATCCCGATACACTTATGAATACAAATGTCTGTACCGTTGCGAGGAATCGAATCAACGGAAGTAAAACGGCGTGTTACACCTCTATACCATCGGGGCCAGCAGATACATATATCACGACTCCCAAATATTACAATCTGCAACGTGTATATAAATATATAGATATATATTTTTCTAAATACATACATAATAGAATAGAATAGAATAGAAAATCATTTAATATACATAGAAATCGAACCCGCGACCATCGGAAGTAAAGAGGTGTGCTAAACCGCTAGATCGTTGCACCGCGCCGCGCCGATGCCGTCAAACATATGTCACAACTCGCAAACCTTTTGCGACCTCTGCTTCAAGTAAACATAGCTAGAATATTACCCATGTAATTAATTTGTGTATACATATATTAAATATAATGATTATAATATAATGATTCCATATTAAAAGAACTCTACATCAGACAGCGCCTATCAACCACAGTGCAATCACGCATTCTGACCTTCTTCGGCCACGTACCTCGCCGTGGTAATGACTCCATAGAGCGGCTCGTAGTGCAGGGAAAAGTGGAAGGCACCAGGCCACGTGGTAGATCACCAATGAGATGGACAGACCAGATCAAGGCAACTAAGTGCTCAGTTTACGAATGTACCCGGAAAGCTACAGTCCGCGACGAATAATTCATGATTCAAAATGTACCACGACCATCCTGACATATATTAAATATTAAACACATATATTTGAATAAAACAATTGACATATAGATATATAGATAGGTCTGTCATTTACTTATCATAAGTATATTAAATTCAAAACAATATTATATTTTACATGCCACGGCAAAAAACATTGTCAAACATTTTGGAATTGTCTGTTTTTGTACTGTTTATTTGCTATAATATTTTAGAATAGAATAGAATTTTATTAACTCGTTTTTATTTTTTTTACTTTAATAACATAAGAAATACAAGAATAATTTACACATTAAAAAACGGAGTCAATGTGGAGCACAACTCAGCATAATGCTGGAAATAGTTTCCAGCGATGATTTTTAGTTGGCCCCACGGTACGGACGCGCAAATATTACAATTAAAAAATACGTATACATTAACTTAATAAATCAGATATTATACAATTAAAATAAAAATAATAATGTCAAGAGAAAAAGTATATAAATAATAAAAAGTAAAATTATACATATATTAATAATCTTAAATATTAATCGTAAAACATTTGATAATAAAATTTTTGTTCCAGCAACCCCACGCCGGAGCTAACACCATTGTTAACACATAAATGGTTACCTGCAGATAAAAATAATCCACATTCTCTGATCATAGACACGGATTTCACAACAACACCTCTTTGGGAAGATGAGAGAATGCTGTTCTGGAACGCTACTTATACGAGATATAGAAAAAAAATATAAACAGATTGTCAATGTATGTTTGAGGCTTATTAAAAAAATCTGAACGTTTGTAAGTTTGAGTTTTAGTTTTCTTTAGTTGTTCGTTCATTTGCCACAAATAAATAACATTGGACGGCCTCGGTGATCTAGTGGTTTAGCCACCGCCTTACTTCCGATGGTCGCGGGTTCGATTATTCGAAAGGCACAAACATTTGTATTCATGAGTATGATTATTTGTATTAGTTTGGGTGTTTTCTATACATGTATATACAAAAAAATATACTAAGTATTTGTATCAGTTATCTAGTACCCATAACACAAGCTTTAGCTATCTTAACTTGAGTCTAGATGGCGCTGTGTGAATTGTTTTGAAATTATTATTATTATGACCCGCCGCTCTCAGATACATCAAATGGTTATTAAGGCAGTTCCTCACTGTAGATTTAAAAAATGTCCTACTCAGAGACAACTGATGATTAACAACAGATAATGACAATTAACTTCAATGATAGGCTAATGGCTACTTCAGCCCTTTGTTGTGAATGTAGCAGAAATAATAAAAAAAGATGCGATCAAATCGTTGCAAACAAAACGACGACAAGACCAGTCCCCAGAAAATCCACAAGAGGCTGCAGGCTGCAGGTAAGGACATTTGCATTTTATCGAACAATTCTTTTGCTCAGTAGCTGCGCCATATTTGGAAGATCCCGGCATGAGCACGAGCAAACGTGTCGCCTGTATGGGATTGACTCCCCTTAAAATTTGACGAGCCTCATTAAGAAGCCGGAAACTCTTGCTTATTATGATGCCCTGGCTAAAAGTATTATTTATAAGTTAAAACAGATTAACAATACATAAGTGTACACTACATACATGCGAAAACTTTTTATGATTAAATTTTATATTTGAATATTAAATCTATTATATACTTTAATATAATATTGTGTATATATAATATATGTGTAATTATGAAAATATGTATAATATAATATATATACCCTACAGGGAAAACTTCTATTAAAAACATCCCCTGTATCAAATCGCAGCGGGAGCTTAAGATTTGAAATAAATCAAAATATATACGTTATAGAAAACTGAAAGAAATAAAAGGAAAAAAAAACTATTAACTGTATCTGGCCTTTACAGCTTCATAGAACGATAAGAGGCGATTGCAATTGGCACTTAAAATCAGCAGAAGGACCTATGAAACGACTGAAGTCCAAATCCCACCTGACGGATACATTTTTTTTTTTTTATAACACAGGGGACAAACGAGCATGCGGCTCACCTGATGGTAAGTGATTACCGCCGCCCATGAGCACACGCAACACCAGGGGAATTGCAAGTACGTTGTCGGCCTTTTAAAAAGGAATAAGCTCTTTTCTTGAAGGTTTCAATATCGTATCGGTTCGGAAATACCATTGCTGGAAGGCGATTCCACAATGTTGTTGTCTGCACGGATCTCCGTTTGCCATAAAATTAAATTTAAACATTACAATGTTGACATGCCCCTACAGTCATGGCAAGCCGGAAAAAAGCCTATGTTAGTAGACTGATGCAAATAAATTATAGAACAATACCAATTAATTCGACCATTGTGTTTTTCCATGACACTCGTAATTGATGCAATTAAGGAAGATATGTTCAGTTCATTAATTTACTACCATTAATTTATTGTTAATTATTAGGCAAATGAGAGATTACTTTAAGAAAATAAAATTACATAATCATTCTCTGAATTATATATATTCTCAGAATCATTACATAGTATAAACCAAAGTCGCTGTCGCTGCCTGTCCGTCCCTATGTATGCTTAAATCTTTAAGACTACGCAACAGATTTTGAAGCGGTTTTTTTTAATAGATAGAATTATTCAAGAGGAAGGTTTATATGTATAATACAAGTACACACTCGGACGAAGCCGGGGCGAGTAGCTAGTTCTAAATATAAACATACCGATTTTGCTATTTTAAACATGTACAACGTTTATTTGAAAAGAATACGAGCTTAGTTTCTTTTCAGTTCTTCTGAACTGATGGTAGATTTGACATATCATAACAGTCTGTATTATACCTGTAAGAAGCACTAATTATGATGGACGACTGGGGCACTAGAATGCATTAACAGGTTTAAAAGGCCACCTTCACTACTTGCAGCTTCCCCCCAGGCCCAACTAAGACCGGGATAAACCCATATCTAATACAATTCACTTTAATATCCAAAACACAACTGGCACGCTCTGCGCTCATCGACTGAATGACGTGGCTCACGCAACGAAAGAGGATTATTCAACTACCGACCTCCGTATTTATATACCAAAGTCAGTGCAGTACGTTGGTCTATAAATGCTAGATGGCCCTATTTACAATATTCGTAATAATCCTTACATTGGGTACTTCATTAGTACTAAAAACAAACTACCTTCTTTTAATATATTTTTAAAATATCGGATTTTTCTACAATAAAGATGTGAATTCTAACTTCATGTAGGTAACATGAATAAAGATAAGAATACGTACGATGGGATAGTCAAAGTCACATTTTGTGTACAAAAAAAAATAAAGAGAAAAAAAGTCCCATTACGTTTTGCCTCATTTATCATAGAAAAATTTAATATCATTAAAAAAAACATTCAAAACATTTCTTCACACAGCCTTACTTCGGATGCTCGGGTTCGATTCCTCGCACGGCACAAACATTTGTATTCATGAGTATGATTGTTTGTATCGGTCTGGGTGTTTTCTATGTATAATATGTATGTACCTATTTACGAAAAAAATCTATGTGTTTGTATCAGTTATCTACATAGTACCTATAAAACAAGCTCTGCTTACAGGACGGGTGCTTTCTATGTATAATTTGTAAGAAAGTATTTATGAAAAACAAATATCTATATATTTGTATGAGATATCGAGTACCCATAACACAAGCTTTAGCTAGCTTAACTTGGGTCTAGATGGCGCTGTGTGAATTGTCCTGAGATTATTTATTTCTCATAAAATAAATTATAAATACATACTTTCATAGTGCAGCATGAATTTCTTACTTAATTAGTTGCATATTAAAGTCGACCTTCATTAATTTATAAGTAACATCTTCACATTTTAATGCAAAATATTTGGCCTTCAACCGAAATGCGTAAGTGTCAAGGATTTGGCGTTAGTTCACTTATATTCGCGATGTATCTGAACTATTTGAAACTAATTACTTACTATTAAATGTTATGCTGACAAATTAAGAAGATAATTCCGCTATACGTAATAGATGAGCATCCGATCTATACAAATTGGTTACATTATCAAACGTATAGGACAGACGCGATAGTGATCACGTCAGACCTTGAGTATTGTGAAAGGCAACATTGATAGTACTAGCCCTCAGTTGTTTCACAGCGCACGCGCGCAAATAACGTATTCTATATTTAAACATTTGTTTATATCCGACAAAAATACGCGCGAAGTTTTGACGTTTGTGCATGAATTAAAAAGTGATTATCTATGGATCATTGTTGTAATCAAGATTAATAGGTAAATGCAGTTCACAGATCAGTGTTTATGGTTTATTTTTTTTAATGTTTGTGATACAATCTGTGTAAATGTGATTATCATATCGTGAAGTTTTAATGTAAATATTATGCAATTTAAAAATGCATTCTAATGCAATAAGTAAGGAAATACTATACATAACGTAGAGTTAACACTGCCCTTATTAGGACTAAACCTTCAAACTTAATCTATGCTAAGAGAGACTTGCAAAATGTAATGTTTAAAAAATGTATTTACACGATTTTATACAAAAATTATTTCAATCTAAATGACCGACCCTAAACTTTTAGTGTTAAATCTATACATATAAATAAAATTGTTGTGTCTGTTTGTAATATTGAATTAACCGTTTTTACTACATGCATATGAATATGAAAAACGGTACATACACCAAAATATTGTTTTTACAATTTTTGTCTGTCTGTCAGTTTGTTCCGGCTAATCTCTGAAATGGCCGATTTTGACGGGACTTTTCGGTTTGTAATATTGAAATAACCCTTTTTTACTACATGCATATGAATATAAATACGGTACATACACCAAAATTTTTTTTTACAATTTTTTGTCTGTCGGTTTGTTCCGGCTAATCTCTGAAATGGCTGGACCGATTTTGACGGGACTTTTTTGGCAGGTAGTTGCTGTAATAAGAAGTAACTTAGTATTTTTATTCTAGAAAAATAAAGTTTAATTCCACGCGGACGAAATGGCGGGTACAGCTAGTTCATTAATAAATAATAATGATTATTCTTGTATTAAAAAAAAAAAACTATTGAGTTGTTGGTAAAGTCTCTATAAGTGAATTCCGACGTTAAACTCAATGCTATCAAAAATACAATTTAAAAAATATGACCTTGACTACAAGTTACTAGTACTTATGTTATCTGTGCTAGTACTTTTCAATTTATTCAGAAACTAACTACTGGCCCCTGCTCCGCATGGGTGTACATCATTATATATATAAACCTTCCTCTAGATTCACTCTATCTATTAAAAAATCCGATAATGGAATGGTACATCCGCCTGCGCTAACGGTTTACACTGGCGGGGCACCAGTGGAGGATGATAAGATGAGCATGAGGTCAGGTCAGTTAGCACATCGTGACAAGCTCACCGGGAATTTGTTACGATGGTTTCCAGGGGAAACCGCGTGGAGGTCGACCTGACATTGTACATAGCTAGCAATGGGGTTATAAATCCACATTACTAACAATTCCCTTTCCCCCCGTGAAATTGGGTTATGTAGTGCATCTTTCCTTCAACTGGAGTTAACTAAGATAATTTTCAGAAGAGATCACGTTTTGAGGGACCTAATAGGGCTATTATAGATCCCATAACTATTCTCTTTCTCTGGGTGCAATATAATATGCAATAGCATGAGGTCAGGTCAGTTAGCCCATCGTGACAAATTCATCAGGAATTTATCACGGTGGTTTCCAGGGGGAACCGCGTGGAGGTCGACCTGACCATGGACTAACAATCCCCCTACCCCAGTTTTAAACATTTAAGCATGCATAAGGACGGACAGACAGTAGCCTAAAGCCTTATGTTAGAAAAATAAAGTTAAATTCCACGCGGACGAAGTCGCGGGAACAGCTAGTATAATATAAACTACGTGTTTTCATTATATAGACAACCAGACAGTCCACCGATCAGTCCACTGACAGTTAATTTAATTCCTATTGTGTGTTAATATAGGTACATGTATTTCTAAATAAGTAAACATCAATTTTATTATGTTAAGAGCAAGGGTCGAGTCTTTGCCAGTTATTCTCGTAAGTTTCCAAATAAACATAGTATAAAACAAAGTCGCTGTCGCTGTCTGTCCGTCTCTATGTATGCTTAAATCTTTAAAACTACGCAACGGATTTTGAAGCGGTTTTGTTTAATAGATAGAGTGATTCAAGAGGAAGGTTTATATCTATACATATAAACAAAATTGGAGTGTCTGTTTGTAATATTGAAATAACCGTTTTTTACTACATGCATATGAATGTATATACGGTACATATACCAAAATAACATGTTTTATAATTTTGTCTGTCTGTCTGTCGGTCTGTTTGTTCCGGCTAATCTCTGAAATGGCTGGACCGATTTTGACGGGACTTTTTTTAGCAGGTAGCGGATGTAATAAGGAGTAACTTAGGCTACTTTTATTTTAGAAAAATAAAGTTAAATTCCACGCGGACGCAGTCGCGGGAACAGCTAGTATAAAATACATGTACACCCGTGCGAAGCCCGGGCGAGTAGCTAGTAAAATATAAATTAATATGATTACATCTGTTACTTTAAAACTTTCGCTATTAGCACATGTTAGTGGGCTCACATTTATTCATCTCTCATTAACACACATAATTCAATGGTAAATATAGTATTGAAACGTTGAGTGAGGTAAATACTTTATTTACCATCCAATCATTCGTTTTAAAACGTACAATGACACGACAAATGCATGCTAAACGCGAAAGTTTTATAGTAACTATACTATTTTTTATTTTTTTATTCTTTATTACACTATGAAGAGTGTACAAGATGCAGCTCGCCTCTTGTATATGTTGTAATGCTATATGGCATTCTGTACCAGCTGCCATTGGGTAGAATTAAAAGCGTTGTAGGGCAGTGATGGCGAAAATTTGTTAAAATAATACTATAATATATAAATAGCTAAACAAAATTAAATAAATAAATAAATAAAATCTATGTTATATAAATATAATATATATTTTAAATATGCTAAATATAGTAGTTTTTATTAAAGATATCTATAGGATTATATATCTTTCATAAAAAAATATATTAGGTCTTTTTTCGGACTACTCTAATGCTGTTGGCCGCAGCTGGCCTTTACAGCTTCACCGGACGTTAGGGGGCGAGTGCAGATGGCACTCAAAATACGCAGGACTTATAGAGCGGCTGAAGATCAACTCCCGCCTGATGGATACGACTTTAGTCTGAGGGCACCGCTAGGGATTCGAACCTCGGCTCAGGCCATCGTAATATCGATCCCCGTTTGAATTGGACGGGGGATCGATCTGAGTGGAATAGATTAGGATTGGTAAAGAAACTAACGTCCATCTGACTTTATCAGTTCTTCTCATTTCGAAATCATTCCGAACTGACAGTAGATTTGACATATCATTGGACATATCATATACATTATAAAAAAATATATCCTTTGTTTAATAATTATGACAAATGCTTAAGTTATTATTTTTATTAAATTTGTTATTTTTTAGTTTTTATAAACTACAGATAACCCTAAATAAATGATAATATCTACGCAATTATGAACAAAACAAGTTGTTGGGTAACCCACGCAATTATATGTATATTATATTATTATATGTACAAGTAATTAATACATATAAGCGTATAATAATGATGAATAAATATTCAATATACATATATATTTCAATACAACTGTTGCAAACTCTTTGCACATTTGTATATATTTATATTTCTACCATATTTAAATGTATTTTCTTTATAGAATTGTCATATATTTTTATTGTCACTTTTTGTCTACAACCGTTTGTACTCGTATCTTCATTATAAGTATTTACTATTTTCTGTCTATTGTTTGATTTACATCACACATACAGTCCACTCATTCTATCACCTATATTTTGGTCCTATTTCGCTAGAATTCTAATAGTTACATCCTACAACAACTCTAATAATAATAATAAATAATATATCTCCCATATATAAAACATATATATATAATAATAATGTTTATTGAACTAATATTTAGTACATCCTTTTGTTTGCACCAATTATTACCCACTCAGTACCACATATCCCACTGTTTTAGGTTGACTGAAAAAGATCTCTTCTAGTAATAAGTCCAACTTTACTCACATTGTCTCTAAATTATAATATCTCTGTATTATCTGTGCAATAAAGAATATATTAACAATTCAAATAATATTAAACATTAAACAAATAAAAACGACATAGTGCGGTAAATAAATAAAATTAAGTCCTTATTAAATGCACATTGTATAAACTATATAAAATAAACAAATATTTCCGAGTGTATAGAGTTAAAAATCAGTGTTAGTTAGATAACTGTGTTGCGGCAAGGTAAGAATCTAGCGCTATATGAATAGGACCCATTTTTAAATAGCATATCAAACGGTTATTATAGAGATGTGTGATGCTGAACTCGTAATTAACATGTCTCGAGTTAAGTCGAGTTAAAATTCAGGTAACTAGAGTTACCTGGAATAAAAAGTTTATTTTTTCGAACAGTTCTAATGTTTTTGGGCGCAGCTAGCATTGAAAGCTTCACCGAACTTTGGGGGGCGAGTAGAAATGGCACTTTAAAGCCGCGGAAGGACTTATGGAACGCATAATCATTTTATTGATAACAAATCGGACGAATATGCGAAAAAAAAATGATAACAACCTCAAATCAATATTGAAATATTTGTGACGAGTGAAAATTGTATGATATGAAATGATCGGAAAATTTCATGTCATTGTCGGTTCGATGACAGAATCATGCTCTCGCTCTTTCACTTGATTCATTAATTTACCAGTTGAATTATTCCAACTCGAGTTGGCAGAATTCAACTCGAGTTAACTCGAATTATGCCCAACTCGAGTTGTCACATCTCTAGGTTATTATAATACTATCTGTTTGTTGTCTCTCCTAAACCTACTTACATTATCAAAGTAGACTTTGCACAAAGACATCACGTTTTTATGTACGTATCACGTGATGACGTGATAGGGCTGTCAGCTTGCGTGACGAACCAGTTACATAAAATGTGTTAATTTGAAACGTCCAAAGAGTTCTTTTCAAAGGATCAATATATTATAAGGATCTATAATAAATCCTGAAATATTACAACATACATATGACTCGATGGTCCAGCGGAGAGGTTCCCAAACTTTTTTGTGTCGTAGACCCATATTTTTCGGTTTTGGGTAGACCCCCCATTATTACCTGGTATTGATTTTTGTAAATAAGATAAAGA